TGAAGAGAAAAATCCGCTTCGATTGTAATATAATTTCGTTCAAAATCACTTTACGTAATATGATGATTAGAAATCGAAGTAGATCGTAGGCATCATGATGTCACGTAGACTACACTCGTGACACATACCCAGGAGCTGCTCGCAGATAGAGTAGAATTTTGGTTGACAAATATTTTTTTATGAATATCCATCTTCATTGGTACCAATGAGTCGTTGACAACGACATGATACAAAGTACTCACTGAAAAGTATCCCTCCGAGAGAGCGATTTATTTTCGATGGAAACTTTTCAACGGCAGCCAATTGAATGAAGATTTAAAAAACGAAGACACTGAATCAAAAATACCTGTATTTTGATCAAACATCGAAAATATTCCCCTTGAATGATTCCACGTATGATGACAGAGTTCAATAAATCGTTATGTTATGATATTTAGCTGTTGCGTGGGACGCACAACAATTAATGGAACAATTATCATCTTGAAAATATCTGAGTCAGTGCATCCACATGATAATCCGCTAAGCGCATGTAATCCGCTTATTTTTAGCAATGTGATTCAATTTAATTTGTTTATAGACATTGAAGAAACCGGTTTTATACTTGCATTTGGCGACTCCGGCGACGAAAAAAAACAATCATTGAAAAATGATAAACTTGCGAATGCTTTGAAACGATTAGCGATAAGCGACTCATTATGAAAACAAATGATATCATAAAATCAGCGTTGCTGTGCTTATACATACAAATAGTTGAATGCCGGCATCGGATTCACCGTTGATATAAAAACAGTTTTCAGCATGCATATGGAAATAGTGTATTTGTAGTATTCAAGCTATATCTACGTTTCGGTGTATATACGTGTGGTTTGAATTGATTCGAAAAAAAAACAAATTCATTTCGCAAAACAAGTTTAAATTCATTCATAAAAAAATGAAAGTTCTTCTGGTTTTCGGTAAGAACAATTGTTTTTGTTTTTTTTTAATTGGGAATATTTTTACAATCTCAATTAACTTTTTTTTTGAATATGTAGAAGCCACAATATCAAAACCTTCATCTTTTTTCATGAGCTCATCAACGAATGAATGAATTAATATCAATTTGAAAACTATTTCAGTGTTGGTTGTTGCGACTTGTATGGCACTTCCATTTCGCCAGAATAAAAAAGAAGATGAATTCGGTGGCTGTGCCTTTTTCTGTCCCTTCATTTACACCCCGGTGTGCGGTACAGATGGTAAAATTAACAAAGTATTTGCCAGTCCGTGTATGATGGAACGACAAAGCTGTTTAGAACAGAAAGGTTAATTTTTGTGTGATTTTCGGCCGATTCCCCTTCCTCTCGAAGAGAATATAAATCTTTCAACCACTATTCTATCAGTCCTTTGTGATTCATATCAAATTTTACTTTATTCATTCTCCAATTTCAGAATATCGTCGAGTTGACAATGATTCAGTCTGTGACTTTAACGGGTATTTAACACAATGAAGTAACAGTGCGATTTAGCCAAGCAAGAAAATATTTTGCTTCAAACGCCAAAAACGTGCCGAATTTCATATAGATTGTGTAGGCTAACATTATGAGTTGTATTAAAATATATATTTTATTCCATTTTTTTGTCTTTTTATCGCCTAAATTATGTCCCATTTATTTATTCAAAATGTAAATCCAAAAATTGTACAGTGAAGTGAAACCAAATAGAAATTGTAAATAAAAAGAATTACATTCCACAAATTATTCCGTACAGTTGTCTGTATATTTGGATGAAAAGACAAACAATATCTGTATAATCTGGTTTGTTTTTGTTAATTCTATTGTAATATTGACAATATAAACCGAAGCAAACATTTCAATGGCAGTAGGTATACATTTGGGTAAATTATTTTATGAAATGTTATTTCTTTTCACTTTTTTCTAAGTAACTTTCATAACAAAAAGTTTATGGGATGTTCTTTATATATCACGCTTGAATTATTTCAAATATTTCAAAAAAATCCAATTTATCTCTAAGAATCTGTCGTATAAAATATGGTGGGTATTTGTGAATATGGCGGAATATTGTGGATTTTTGTGATTATGAATGATATTTAAATGTATTTATTCGGATTTAATGCAAAAAATCTCAAATATCTCCAAAATCCACAAAAATCTGATTCATTTATTCGAAATATTCGAAAATATTTCATACAAATGATGTTTATTTCAAATATCTCACAAGATTCAGGAGCGTGATATTCCTTTAGTTTGGTGGTTGCCCTGAGAGAGCGAAATCTGATGCGTAGAAGGTGAATAAACCGAGAAGTTGAGAAGCGATTCCTGCTATGAAGTGCCAGTGATCAGAAGGACGATTTCATCCGAATAACTTACATGGGAAGGGAGATGAAATGACGCTACCGAATGAATGAAATTACCAATTGTTTTGATATTGCCTTTTTTGACTTGTGAATTTAAAATTGATTTGCTATTTCATAACATTTTGATATTAATTTCTATTTGCATTCATTTTGCCATATTTATTTGCATATCAATTGCTTTTGATTTAGACAAAAGTTTTTCTTCCTTTTTGAATTTGAGGAAACTGAATTATTTGAGATTTGAGATTTATTCTTTTGTAAAAAATAATTAGAAATTTTGAAAATTGTATTTTGATCAATGTCGGCTTATTTTTAGGTAGAGAATAAAACACTACATTATTATTATTACATAATTTTTCCAATTCAATTATTTTATTGAGTAAAGATCGTACCAGATTACGAAAGCCGTGTGCATTGTAACAACAAGTAATCCTAATTAATTCGTACTCATTTTGATTTTGAACAGATATTTGAGTTTAACCTGTGCTGGATCGAAAACAACGAATTCATTGTAATCAAAGAGCGGTACGAATGTCTCCGTCCTTAATTTTGACTTCATCAATTTTGGTATCACTACCCGGAAAATATTTGCCAAATGCACGAATTGATTAGTGTTCATCATTCGGGATGTCAGTAATTTCTTCTGGGTGTGTTTTCACCAATGATTTTCCCAATGCCACCTCGCACAAAAATATGAGGTCAATATTATTATAATCATTATCGTTGCAATAACGTGTCGACTTTTTGATACAACATCTGCAAAATAGATGTGATTGCCAAAATAGTTTTGACCTGATTCTCCTTTTTTAGGTACTTAAAAGCCAAACTTTAAAATTGCAGCAATGTTCGTTAAATGTGAAGCAATGTTCGTTAATTCAAGATGAACATTATGCGTGGGTCCGTGTATCTCGCGTAATTTGACACAGCAACCTGAATCTCTCCGAATTTCCATTCAGTGGAACAATTTTCGTGTTAAGCTTCTTGTAACATTCGACAAGTTATTACTTATTTCAAACATGAACAAAAACAATAATTGATACCGCCCCTTCTCCTTAACGTTAAGACACTCAAGAGTATTAATCACGTACTCCATGGATGTTATTCGTTTCGACATTGACTTCATCCGTTACCCGTGTCTTTATTGCTTTTTCGTCACCTGATTTATAAGCGAAAGCTTTGGTTTCGAATTTGTCATATTGTTGATAGCATTTCACCTTTCTTTTCAAACGATCACAAATGAAATTGAAATTAAATCCGCATGTATTTTACA